GAAATTTTTTGTGAAGTGGTATTCTATGTTATTGACATGGAGGATTGACAATTTAACTTGAGAAGACCACGGTAGTTCGATATAAGTGTGCAATAAAATTGGCATGACAATTCATATTCTTTTGAGTGAAAGGTAATAAAATTTGCCAACTTCCTCCACTGGTGAACAAAACCTCTAAAACTGAAAAGTCCACATATTTCAATGTCTCTGGCTCCCAACACATTTCAATCCTTAAGACTAAATATCAACAACATGCCATTTGGATAGCTGAATAGAACGCAGAAATTGAGAAAATTCCAGTTGCCATCCAAAATCTGCTACGTCAGTTTGATGACATTGTGCCGTTCGACCTACCTACCATATTAGTAACCTCTGACGTAAGTTATACAACATCCAATCAACTTCATACCGAGAACCAATTTACCCTACCTGTTATCCCCAAAGGAACACAAAATCTTTTGAGATATTTTTGATGAACTTTTACAAAAGCAACTAATCCGGCATAGTCTGAGTCCATGCACTATCCCGCCGTTGATTGTTTTGATGAAAGATGAATCATGGTTGATGCGTAACGACAACGAAGCTATTAATAAGATTAGCATGAAGTTTCATTTTCCAATGCCACAATGGGAAGATCTATTAGATTTGTTGGCAAGCGCCCATCACTTCTCCAAATTGGACTGGAGGAGTGGATATCACCAAGTTCGCATTTGAGTTTGTGATGAATGGTAAACAATCTTCAAGGCTTGAGAAGGCCTATATGAGTGGTAAGCAATGCCATTCAATTTGTGCAATAAACATGGTATGTGGCTAATGAGTGAGGTACTAAAGCCCTTCCTCAAACATTTTTGTGTAGTTCATTTTGATGACATCTTAATGTATAGTCATAATATCGACGAACATATACACCACCTCAAACTTATAGTTACTATATTAAGGGGCAACAAACTGTACATGAATTCTCACAAATGTGAGTTCACAATGATGGAATCACACTTCTGGGTTTAATTATAAGTGTTGAAGGTACTCAAACTGACCCTAAAAAAATTCAATCAATCCAATCATGGCAAACATCTTTTGTCATCAAAGTTCACAATTTTCACGGCCTTGTGAATTTCTATAGTAGTTTATTCAAGATTTCAACACAATAGTAGCACCCTTAAGCGATTATATGAAGCTGAAATAGCTCCACAGGGGTTCCCCAAAAAGAATCTAGTTTCCAATTACTGAAATAGCTACCGAATTCAATGATACACCCCAAAATTATATGTTTTAAATATACATTTAATGTTCATTTTATGTACATTTTTTATGATATCGCGCTTTAATGAAAGGTATTTAATATGTTTTTGATTTCAAGTACAAGAAATCGAGTTTAAAGGAAAATGAGAGAAAATGGAGGCAAAACGATGTCGTGAAGCAGTGGCGCCTAAGCGCCAGAGACGGAAGAAGACTGGCCTAGGCACCAGATCCAAAGCCTAGGCCCAATGACGGTTTTTCTTGGTGATGCATTGGATTTGGACAAATTTTGAATGGATGTTTGATGTGCCTCTTGAGGATTTCGAGATTCTTATATAATATGGCCAAAAAAGAGTTTAAAGAGGACTTTTATGAGAGGAAAAACTTAGATCATTTGGAGAGTCCACTAAATTAGAGAGTAGAATAGAGTCTTCGTGTTGTTTTTCTTTTGAGAAGAGTTTGAAGATTGCTTCAAAGAGACTTCAAGTTTTGTTTGTAGAGAAGCCTAAGATAAGTACTTTTGTTTAAGTTATAATTTCTTATTTAAACTTGATCTTAAATACAAATCTATGTGTTTTTGTGTTATCTCCATGGATTCTGAGTAGTTTTCTTTCTTTCTCCTTGTTATGATAATTAATCATGTAGGATGGGAATGATTTGAAGATTTCTTTTTAATTTAAATTTTGTGATGGTATTTTCACTGGTTCTACATTGACTTTACAAACTAGCCACTTGTGGGGTTTAAATCTGTTGCGAAACATAAAAATCCGGGAGGATTCTGAGTAGTTTTCTTTCTTTCTCCTTGTTATGATAATTAATCATGTAGGATGGGAATGATTTGAAGATTTCTTTTTAATTTAAATTTTATGATGGTATTTTCACTGGTTCTACATTGACTTTACAAACTAGCCACTTGTGGGGTTTAAATCTGTTGCGAAACATAAAAACCCGGGAGAGCTATGATTTCACCCTACTTGTGAGTATCACGTTAACCTTTAGGATGGGAGGCCGACTTAGTTCACTGGTTAGCGCAAATCAAAAAAAAGATATTTTTTATAGGTGTATAATTGATGTTTTTAGGGTGACAGACTAGATTCTTTTTTGTCAATTCGGTCTTGAGTTTAGAACCTGAGCCCCTGGTATGTCATCTAGAGAGGGCATAGTGGGTAACTTGGAGGTAAAAGACCAAAATCTACTCAACACTACTATACAATCAAGAAACAAACTTAAAATTAGTCAACATTCTTTACATGCATTGAAAATGAGTAAAGAATGGGTATGCACTTATTTTTCAAAATACAACATTTGATATTTTTAAATAATCAAATCCTACACTGATTATGATCTCTTTGCAAGGGCAAAGATCTTTTCCATATCATTTGAACTCTTTTTAACAGTGTTAAGTTAGAAGTACTTTCTGCTTAGAATTAAATCTTGCATAAATTTAGTTTTAATCTTTTCAAAGTATTTCAACATTTTTCTCATATTAATTGTGTTTGTAGTTTTAATAGAAGTTCTTCTACGTCATTTTTGAAAGTTACAGCTTCACTGTGGAATCAATATTAGGGTTTTTAAAGAAAGTTCTATATTACTTAAAACGACACGTATACTTGCGTAGTATCCCTAGTGTAAAGCTTATTCTTTATTCCTAAGTCATTTTATTTGTTCACACTAGCCGCTAAAATATAAATTGGGTCAAGTTTTTAATAATCTATTGGAATATAAAATATCTACGTAATTGCGGGTCAAGTCATTCAACACAAACCTTAATTATTCCAGATTTTGAAAATCGTTTCAACAGAAAACTGATGCTTCTTACCTAGAAATTGGGGGTTGTGTTGACAAAAGAAAATAAACCAATAGCATTTTTAGTCAAAAGCTCACTTTAGCAAGTCATAAGGGTGTAAATACGAGCAATATTTATGTGTAATAATTTGGACATTTAAACCATGGGAATCTTATTAGCTTCACCAAGAACTTGCGCTGGTTGGTGACCACCAGTCACTTCAAATTTATCCAGTTGTAAAAGACTTTAAACCGTATGCATGAAAGTTGGGTAGTGTTTTTGCAAAAATTTAACTTTTTCGTAGAACATCACGCAAGAACTTGAAATAGAGTGAACATATTGAGTCGCTGAGCTGGTTTACTCACTACAATACAAAACGCTATCACTAGCATGTATGGTATAAGGACCTGTATGCAAAATATACTGATTTTGCTTTATCGTGGAGACTTGCTGATAGAGCAATGGAGAAAAAGGATTCATGTAGCCGACCCCACGTAGTGGGATTAAGGCTTTGTTGTTATTGTTGTTGTTGTTGTGGAGACTTGTCGCAACTTCACTGCTACAAGTGATTCCTCCATACAGCAAGATACCTCTTCAAAAGAAAGCAATTATTCATTCTGAATAACTCATTGCGACAATATCTCATACAAGAATGCCACAGTGGAGGATTGGCCACACACACATGCTTTCATAATGTGGCATCTTTTGGTTGAAACTTTGTCATGGCGTCAACTGATTCATGATTAAATGCTCTATGTGCCAAATATATAAAAAAATGAACAAAACACGGGTTTCTACTCTCCTATACCAGTTCTTGATTCCATCTGGGAAGATGTAAATATTAATTTCATGTTGCAATTACCAAGTACAAAAAGGGTTTAGACTTAATTATGGTGGGGGTCCCTTGGTTTGCAAAAAAATATTTGATTCAATCAATATGACTAAGCTAATTTTCAAAAAAATTGTTCTTCTACATGGAGTACCACATAGCATAACTTTTGACCATGTTGTGAAAGTCACGAGCTGCAAACTGAACTCAAGTTTAGTTATGCTTATCATCCATAATATGATGTGCAAACAAAAGTTATCAACCATACTCTTCACAGCAAGATTCTTTGGCTCGTCCAAAACATTGGAATGAATTTTTGGGCCAAGTTGAATTTGCATTCAAATCCATGCAAAATCAATAAAATGGATTATAATAAAGAACCAAATCATACCATGAAAGTCACTATGTTATCACAATCTATCGAACGAACAAATGCTAAAAAATGTCAGGAATAAGCTTACATTAAGCAATCAAACATACAAACAACAAGGCGATAAACACGAGCAACAAAAGATTATTCATGTTGGTAAATTAGTGATTATAAGGCTTCCAAAAAAGGGATTTCCAACTGGGGCTTATTCCAAGCCACAACTTATGAAAAATGGACCATGGCTTGTAGCGTATTAATAACAATGCTTACGTTGTGATACTACCCAATGATATAAATATTTCTTCTCCCTTTAATGTGGCAGATTTACACAGTTATCACCCACTAAACATTGGACTAGCACAAGTTACAAAACATCTATTTGATTTCTTCTTAATCAAAGGGAAACCAGTGCACCAATTATCAACTTAAGAGCCTTTATTATTAACATTTCACCTTTTTTATTTAATGTTTTAATTACTTCTTAAGCTTAACTTATTTTTTAGTTTATATACATATTTGAGACAATCTATATAGTTGAGAGAATAATATATATATATATATATATATATATATTATTGATTATTTATTTATTCCCCTATAACAGGTCAGTACGAGTAGACTATCTTTCCATTACACATTTTTATTAGGTGTAGAAAATTTTGATATTCTATTTTCACTTTCTCTATCCTCTTCTATACTGATTGTAGCCATAATTGAAGCAAACAAATAAATAAAATGCTATAAAAATAAGTAACAGCAAATTTATCAAAGAAAACCTTCTCAAGCTGATTCATAAGAGAAACAAGGAGGGCACTAGTAGTCTTCGTGCGCTCCTTCTGAGGGATCTTGAGTCCTCTATCCATCGCATACAATCGACCTGGAAAACAAAAAATGAATTACTCAAAACACCAAATAGAAATGAATTGAAATTAAAATAATAGACTAGGGTTTATATATCATTTTTACAATAGTAGGCAATAAGGGGCTCATGCTTCTGAAGCTCATCGGCTCTCTGCAAGAATGGAAGGAGAAGCTTCGCTGGTTCAGCATCACTTGCCATGGCGGATCTCCCAATTCCTTCCCTGCTTCTATTAAAATAATAAATCAAATCAGCATTGTAGTGAGGATGAGAAGAAAATTCTTATAGCTCTGCATTAATAGGAGATTAGTAAAATGCACAAAGATGAAATAAATTTGAAAAAAATTTAAATATTACATAATTTAATTATTTTATCCAAAACAAATTGATTAAGAGATTGAATATGATCGTATTGTCAAACTTTTGAATTTAGATTTAAGTCACATGCAAAAATATAAGGAAAAAAAAAAGGTGTAAAGTGTTGAAACAATGCTAGTATCGACTATATTTTCTGTAGTGGCAAAAATTTTGACATCTCCATTCATTAATTGCCCATTCAATAATGAACCACAATTGCCTGTGTATGGGCTATTTAGTCGTCAGAATTCATAACTCAAGGACATCTCCATTTATTAATTGCCCATTCAATTATGTACCACAATTGCCTATGTAGGGGCTATTTAGTCGTCAGAATTTCTAACTCAAGGGTTTTCTAGATGCAGTTTAATTGAAATGATGAAATAAGTTGCCAGCCACTTTAATTAAAACCAGCCAAACAATTTCTCTAAAGTTAATCACTAAAAATTAATAAATCCGGATATATAGGAATTGCTAAATCCCACATGAAATATATCCCAAAAGTTGCCAAATAGCCCCTAAATCCTACAGATTTGTACATTTTATTTTACCTCCGTTTTGACCTAAATGCTAGAAAACATGGAATTCAGCAGATTTAAGTGATTTAGACGGGTACAATAACACAATTTCATACCTTTGCTAGCAAGCTCCCGCCGCTACGTCTTCGCTTATTTTTCTTCTACAATTCAGCTAGTAGTAAAAGGAGAAGAAACACGAACGTCGCGATCTCATCGATGCCTTCACCAGCAACCTCCCGTCGCGACTTCCGTGCTTCTTTGTTCGTCAAGGGTTTCTGGCGAAGAAGGAAGGGTTCGTCAACGGTTTCGGGTGAAGTAGACGGAAGGGGTAGAAGCCGAGACTTCGGTAAGCATGTTTGTGAGGTAAATTTTGGGGGCATGTGTAGTAACGGATTTAGAGCAGGATTTAAGCTGGATTTAACCTAAATCTTGCCAGACGGTCTCGGATTTGATAAATCCTGATTTCACGGATTTCGGCCTTAAATCCTGAATTTACTAAATCCCGTGAATCGATGGATTTAGTAAATCCGGGACGGACGCGTCGCGAGCAAAAAAAAACGTGAAGTTACCTTCCTCAAAGGTTTCGGGTAAGAGAGGAACAGGAGGAGGAAAACAAAATGGGAGTTTCGGGACTCTCTAAGCCGCCATCCCGTCGTTGCGTTCCCAGCTAGCTCTAATTGTGACTGTATCGCGAGGGCTCGGTGAAGAAGGCGATGATGGTTTTGGACGAAACAGAGGGGAGAGAGATGCGAGCGTCGGAGCAAGGAAGGCGAGTGCTTCCATTAACTTTATTAAAGTTAATTTTATTAATTGATAATTAATAATTTGTCAAAATATTATCAGATTAATCATACTTAAATAAAATTATTTATTATTTAATTATTAATTAAAAATTAATATAATTTCTTTTTTCATTCAATAAATTTATAAGAAATTATTAATAAATATAATTAATAATTAATTAATTATTCTCCTATAAATATTAACCTTCTATTTAATAATTAATTCACTAAAAATTTTATTAATAATTAATTAGTTTAGTAAACCAAAAATTATGAAGTAGCATATTTTGAAACAAGATATCAATTCAATTTTAGAAGTTTGTGCGGCAATTTTAAAATATTTTAATTTACATGATTTATTAAATTTTATTATAATTTATTAGTAAAGTCAAACAGATTTTTAAATTCTAACAGAATTTGTGAAACAATTTTACAGGAATTAGCATCATTTATTAAATTCATTGCTAAAAAAGTTTTTAGATTTAACTCTTTCAAGATTTACTAAATTTGAATTTACCTGACTTAGCAAATCCTACTAACTTAAATCTCATTCGTTGTCATGTAGCCCATTACATACTTGTCGTCCAATTATGTTAAACTTTTAAAAGTGAATGTCACATTTTTATATATAAGGAAGGTGACTTGTATGTCAAAATTAGAGTTTAGGTGCTAGATGTGGAAATACATAAAAACAATAATTTGTTGTTTACTTACAAACCTCTCAAGTTTAATTTTTATTTATTTAGATACCTAATATCTCAACTTTAATTTTGTATATTTATATCACCAAAATTTTTCATATAGTATGAAAAAAAATCATCATTTTTTTTTAAAAAAAAAGTGAAGTGCAATTTTAATATAGTGGGAGGATGACTTAAAAAAATCCCCTAAATTTACCTTACAATCATGTTAATTGAAGTCTCTACTTCTCCTCCTTCCATCTTTTTTCACTCGAAACCATTAGCAGTTAAAAATGAGCACAAGTCACGATGGGAGGCTACTGCAAAAGGCATTAATGGCATCGCAAAGTTTGTCTTTCTTCTCCTTTCACTGCTACTTGAAATCATAGAAGAATACCAAAGCGAAGAAGTAGCCACGGAAGCTCGTTGGCAAAGGTTTGAAAGGGTGTTATTTTTATTCATCTAAATATCTTATATTTGCTGACTTATATTAGGATTTAGTAAATCTCGTAAATTTGAATTTAATAAATCATGGAAGGATTAAATCCCAAAATTTATTTTGTAGCGAATTTAGTAAAATATGCTAAATCATGTCAAATTATTTGACAATAAAGATTTAAAAGACTATCATAGTTGGTAGAATAAAATTTATAATTAAATTTGACTACATTATTATTATTAAAAGCAATTATTAAATTTAAAAAAATTCATTTTAATTTTTATTTCTAATTTACTAATTAATGATTAATTCAATATTAATAAAAATATTTATTAAACTAATTATTTATTAAGCAACAATTAAACATTAGTCAATTAATAATTAATTAGTTATTAATTATACTAATTTAGAATTACATATAATTTTATTTAAAAATTTAAATTTAAAAATGTAGTTTTATTCACCAATTAACTATTAAAGAATTACATGCATATTTATTTGATTATAGTTACTTGATAATGTGTTGATTAATTATTAGTTATTAATCAATTAAATTAATAAAATTAACTTAAATAAAATAAATTAAAATCACATAGCAATAGGATTTTGTAGGTTTTAGGGCCTATTTGGCAACTTGTGGGATTTAATTTATGTGGGATCTAGCAAATCCTGTAAATTTGGATTCAGTAACTTGGTGATTAAATTTTAGAAATTGATTTAAGATAATTATTTGGCAAATTTCACCATTTCAATTTCACAGCATTTAGAAAACTCATGGGTTATGAATACGACCAAATGGCCTATACATAGACAAATGTGGTGCAAAATTGAATGGACAAATAATGAATGGTGACGTCAAAATTTTAGCGCTAAAACTCATGGGTTATGAATACGACCAAATGGCCTAAACAAAGAAAATTTAGTCGATGTTAGCATTACTTTGATATTTTACACAATTTTTACTTATTTTCTCTCAGATGGTGTGTTGCAACTTAGATTATGTTAAATAGCATTTACCAAATCTGATAAATTCAAATTTATTAAATCCAATACTACCGAGGAGCTTGCAAGCGATGAAGAGATAAATATGCATCGTAATTGGATTTAGTAAATTTAGATTTACATCATAAAAGATAGCAAAAGTGAGAGAAAAAGACAAAACGCGAGTGTTGAATCCAAAATTATCTTGTGGATCACACCCAAAGAATAAAATGTTGAATAGAAGAGAGAAACAAAAAAAGAAAAGAAGATAAATAAAGTAAACAATAACACAGTTTCTCTGAGAATGGATTTAGTAGTCTCTTCTTAAAGAAATGAAGCCCCTCTTTATAGATCATATGAGGTGTCTTGCAAGTTATACATTTATCCTTGTTTTAATAGAAACATTACAAATAATTAATACAACTCTTCATAATTGTAACTGACTCTGCTATCCATAATTGACGCTAATGATGTTCGATATTTGTAACTGCTAAAAAAGAAAGCACTTCATGACCTACCGATGTTGTTAATTGGTTATCTAACAATCATTCAGTCATCCAGCATGTTTTCGGTAGGCTAGAAAGTCTTCGGTCGACTTTCTTAGGAGAATCTTCTTTGGAGACCCCAATGTCATTATGATGAACTTGGACCATTTGGTAGAAGGTGTATCACTGTAATTTGACATACAACTCTTCTCTGGACAAGGTGCCTTCTAAGAGGATCTGAAAGATAACGGGGTATCTTTTGGTTATCTCTATGAAGAATCTAGAATGTGCTAGTTGTAGTCGTCTGCCCCTCAGATATGGTGCCTCTTGTTATTTCATTTGGTAGAGCTTTCTTTAGGTTGGCTCATGGTTCTGACTAAATGGAACAATATTTAGATTCTCAATCTTCGTACTCCCGATGCAACCCTTTAGTGATGCTCAATGATATCCGTTGAATTTCCTCTAGATTTGTGCAACCATTTTTTTGTTGTACAACTATAAATTTGATTTAACATAATGTTAGATTTAATTTTTAATTTTTTGTGTTTAGGTAAATCAGTAACTTTGAAGACATCTTGCACAACACAAACAACAGCCATTTTAATCACCTCCTAGCAAACCTTGTAAGAATATGCAGAAAAATCATACGGTCCATCAGATTTGTTACCATCAAGAATGTATAAAGCATTTTTTATTTTAGTTTACTTAGGAATAACAATAAGCTCAATACTTCCAACATAAACACAATCATCAGCAAAAAGACATCAATTTTTTCAAGATCACTGTTATCACAATTAAGCAAACTAGAATAATAATTAACCCCACCAGCCTCAATGGAATCAGTAGAATAAAGCAAATTACAATGATCTTGTTTAATCTTGCTAATAGTCTTAATCATTCTTCTCTTTTTTAAAAAAAGCATGAAAATAGGTTGAATTCATATCCCCATCCACAAAAAGATGACCCACAACTTTCTGCTTATAGAAAGCCTCCTCCGTATTAAAAGCATAAACAAGCTTTTCCTGGCCATCCAAGAAAGATTCGTGATCAAATAAATCATTACTATATTCATCTTCAAGTTTCCTCATATTTTCCTTAGTAGACAAAACCAAAGAATGAAAATTGTCAAAAGTGTCCCAATTCCATCTTCTCAATTCAGCCAAATTTTCTGCATGAAAATTGTCAAAAGTGTCCCAATTCCATCTTCTTAATTCAGAGGCCAAATTTTCTGTAATAACCACAATCTTTTGGCCATATTGCCTTGGACATCACTGTTATAATTATCTTTGAAAATTTGTAAAAAGGATTCAGGAAGATTCCACTGATTTAAAAATCTAAATTGATAAACTAGAGGTTTATTAAACAGATTAATAGTAAGAACAATAGAAGTATAATCGAAGCAAATAATAGGAAGATTCCCCACAGAACTAACAAGAAAAGTAACCATCCAAAGATCATTAGCAAGAAGTATGTCAAGCCTTTCAAAAACTTTACAACGATACCATGTGAAAGAATTGCCAATATACCCAAGATCAAAAAGACCAACATCTAACAAAATATCATTAAAATCAGTAATAAGCCTTTGATTAGGATAATTACCATGTTTCTTCTCAACCACAGAAAGAATGACATTGAAATAACCCCCAACAATCCAGGGATCATTGCAGCCAGCTTTAAGAGTAACAAATTTTTCCCATAAATCCAGCCGAGCTGTTTTAGAACAACCCGCATAAACAATTCTAGTAAGGAAAGAATATTTTTAGAAGTGACCCTCATATGAATGAATTGATTATGATTAATAATCAACTCCACATTGATAGAATTAATCCAGAAAACCAGATTTTATTATTAACATTAGCAATATAATTAAACTTCTTGAAAAGCCTCATATGTCTTCCATTATTATGAGAAGCTACCACAGGTTCTAAAATACCAAAGAAAGACAAATTATGAGTTTTAATAATATTTTTGAGTCTATTAGAGGCATTAATATCAACAATTCCCCTAATGCTCCAAACCATAACTTAATCATAAAAAAAGCTTTCTCCCTCTAGCCAACGTACCAAGGAAATCAAGATGATTTTATTTTCCTTTCCGAACACCACAAATATGAATTAAAACTACCTCAGAATCGACATATTTCAATTCTCTAATACCCTTAATTTTCTTTATTCTTGGAAATTAAAGTGCACCACTCCTTCTCAAAATCAGTTTTAAACTAATTTAATTTTTTAGATAGAACTTGATTCTAAATATTAGCATCATACAAAGCACCAGAGTCACTATTGGCTTGTTGAGTACTTAACTCATCATTGCAATTGACACCATCCAATACCTTAGGAAATATAGCTTCCCTAACAGTATTATCCAAAGGAACATTCTCATTAACAAACCTTCCATTAATATT